GAATATTAATTATGATCGCATCTGGACACAAGAACCTGATCTCCCATGAGCGCAGCAATGTGGCAGGTCTTCCCTCCAGGCGCAGCGCACATATCCAGGATGCGCTCTCCAGGGCGAGGCCCGAGCACGTGTCCCACAACCACAGACGGGAGGTTCTGCGCAACATGGATTCGCTTCAGTATGGGCAGTGATGTGGACATAACATGTATACAATACAGTTCCTAGTTGATTCAGACTGAAACCTCACTGCTGCTCTTTTTAAAATGGACCTAATACGCTATTCCACATTGTCTGTCATTCTGTAGGAATGTTTTAGGCAGTTTTTTTAAATTCTTGGATCATTATGATGTCATAAAGAGCAGATATCCTATGAGACTCTTGATCCACCTGCTGCTCAAACCATCTGTTTGCAAGGTGCAGCTGTTCCAGAACGACACAGGACAGTTTAGGGGCTACAACAAAGCCAGTTATAACAGAAAATACGGATTATTTTGGAAATCAGAATTATAGGTCCACTTTAATAAAGGTTCTAGTTTATTACACCGACTTTAGCTCATTGCGGCTCTAATAAAAAATACCTGCAGGAACGCTAGGCTAGGTAAAACACCATCAAAGGACGGACTTCTGTAAAGCGGCTCCACCATTCGGATACCGATACCTCTGAAAGAAAAAAAGATGTCAGCTAACACGTTTCTAAGATAAAGAGTAAATTTAAAGTTTCTATCCACATTGTCCAAGGTGCTTTTAAAAAAGAGCAAGGGATTTTCAACATAGCATTTCAAAACATACAAGATTTCTTCAGAGACCATAAATTATTTCCAAACAGCACAAATTCTATTCAAAGCAAAAAATAAAGAACTGCCAGGTAATATTCAGAGTATGTTTGTTTTGGAAGAAGGAAGTTATAATTTAAGGGGTTTTTGTAACTTCAAAACAGGGAAGGTCTGTACGAGAAAAGGCTTTTGTGTTTCTGTTCATGGAGTGAAACTGTGGAACAGTCTGAATATGGAATTAAAGCAATGTCCAAACATAAAACAGTTCAAAAAGAGTTATAGAAATATGATCTTCTCAAACTATAAAGAAAGGGGAAATACTCAAATGAAGTGAATGTCTCTATTTAGTATATAGTATATATTATATCAGAAATCTGTTCACTATTTTTATTACAGATTATATCAGTAAGGAAGCTGACTAAATATTAACTGATAACTTATGGCAAAGGGGTTGGATTACATAAGTGTGTACTTCCCTTTCAACATGTAAATGAATCAGAATGGTAGCTATATTGAAACGTACTGACTTTTGTATAGTATTTTTTTCCTCTCTTATTTTCTTTACTAAATGTACCTGTATATTGTTTACATGTTTGAAATAAATTAACAAAATTAAATTAAATGACATTTCTATTTCCACACAATAATCAAATAATTACAGATTTCTTTTTTTACATTTGTCCCCTGAAAACCTGGCCTGTTTATTGCTCCATAGCATAAACCACTGCTGTGCAATGATGTGCTTTAACTTTGTAAAGCTCAAAGCTCTGTAGCTACTTTACAGAGTCATGCTTGTGTTTAAAAAAGACAGTGTTTACTTACCTGGCAGGCTCTTCTGTGCAGAAGATAGTGGAGCGGTCCATTTCGGCTACTCCATTACCCACAAATACCTTCTTTCCCTGGAAGCTGGTGGCTCCTCGGGTGCACTTGCCCTCCAGGTCAGAGAAGACGGACACCAAATCCCCCGCCTTCATGTCTAACAAGAAAAACAAAACAGCACACGGTTCGGTTTAAGGAAGATAATCAACACTTGGAACAAATGAAGATACTTTGGCAAAAAGTAAAACATGTTTCCAAATCACAGAGCAGGTGAAGAAAACAAAGACACCACTGCTCTAAGTATTCACAGCCTCACTTCACTTCTACTGTTTTTAAGTCTTACATTTGGGGCTGCCGAGGATCCCCGGGGCGAAGACGTGAGCGCCTCTCAGTACGGCGCCGCCACACTGAGCGCCCACCACCACCTCTGAGCCGAGCTGCTTCACAGGTCTGAGAGTACAGGACAAAGAACGTTCACACGGTTACAAAGGATACACTCACAAAAATGCCATTCTTCTCTTTGACTGACAGTTTGTTGGCAGCTATCTGAGGGTGTGTTTGTTGTTCCTTTGTTATCAGAAATATTTCCTGTGTTGTTGCTGTTCCACTTGGATGTTGGAGAACCTCAGAGGCCCAAGTGGTGCTGAGTGCGACCTCTACAGAGCAGATTAAGAGTTATCTGAAACATTCCTCGCATACCTCGGACCTTCAACGGGAAGGATCAGCACATCTGCAATTCGTGGGTGTGGCAGAATCTGCACAGAGACTTCCTCTGCTGACGAGCTGCACATCAGCTGCTAGAGAAATAATGACAAACTAAATAAGCAAGACTCCAACACACTGCAACCAAATACCGAAGCCCATTGTGTGGATTTTCTTACGCCCTCTACATTCTGTTACCAGACAGAGACTCACCTTCCTCAGCTCTTCTGCCAGCTGCTGCCTGATCTCCTCAAGGGGGGCCAGATGGGTGCTGGCTCGTACGCAGGTGTATGAAGGTGGGTGAGACAGACATGAGAGTAGCTTGTGGAAACGATGCTCTGCCTCCTGATGACCCACCGCCGTTAAAACCTAATAAAATAGAAGGGTTAGGTAATAAAAAGCATACAGTGTGCCTTTGTGTTGATGAAGTAACACAAAAGAACTGTTTGTAGATGGTAAACAGACTCGTACTTATAAAGTGCTTTTCTGCAAAATACAGACTAAGAGCATAGACAAAAATCTAATGACAGGGTCACCTGATCCAACCCTAACTACCTCTATACTTTAACTATATTAAAAGTACAGAGGGTGTCTATTCCCTGAACCCAAACTGGAAGCTGGTTCCACAGGAAGGGGGCCTGATGGCTGAAGGGTCTGCCTCCCATTCTACTTTTAGAAACTCTAGAAACCCCAAGTAAGCCCGCAGTCTGAGAATGAAGAGCTCCGTTAGGATAATAAGTTACTATGAGGTCTTTAAGAGATGACGGTACCTGATTATTAAAGGCTTTGTATGTAAGGAAAAGGACTTTAAATTCATTTTCTGGGTTTAACAGGGAGCCAATGAAGAGATGCCAACATAGGAGTAATATGATGCTTCTTTGTTGTGCCTGGAGGCTTGTTAGGGAGCTTTCAGATCAACCCAGTAACAATGAATTACAATAGTCCAGCCTAGAAGTAATGAATAAATTAACTACTTTTTCAGAATCAGTATCCAGAATGTTTTCTGAGCTCTTTCAATGCCTGACTGCATACAACAGAAATGTAATATGAATGATTCGTAAAAAACAAATGAACGAGAGAACCCATCAGTGTTTAAGGGAGCAGGACTTCTGTTAAAGATTACTTAATATTTCTTGTTAGAAAGTCACATGTGACTGTTTTATAACTCTCAAAGGGTTTTCGTGACTGTTATGCGGAGAGAGATTTGCAGAAAATATACTGTAACAGCTAAATGAAACCACACGCCGATAAATGACGACTTGTAGCATCCTAACTTCTCCCTCAGTGAGTTATCTTTTCATTTGAAAGGGAAGACAGCGATTCCAAGAAGTTCTTCTTACCTCCTTGTTTAAGAAGACACTCTTAAGATATTCAGTCACTTCAGGCTTCAGGGAAATTCGTGGGAAAATCGACATTTCCTCTGTTTAACAAGGCTTCAGACTGTGGAAAGGAAAGCAACACGTGTCAGATGGACATCTTAATTATCACCGCCACTGGATTAATGTGGAAACCTAAAGAGGCCAACAATTCAGCGATACCTGTTGTACAGACCAAAATGTTATTGCTAGACCAGCCAATTTCTCCAAGTATATGAAAGATCGTATTACTTAAACGACTCTCCAACATTCAACAAGTCCGCTTCTTAAAATGAATTTAATACATTGACTGTTAAATTATCTTTCCGCTCCAGGTCTGATTTCATTGTAAATGTGCTTTTAATTGTATTTCGTTACTCACTTCTGTGCAGCGTGGAGTCCACCGGATTGTTTTGGCATGCTTCTTGCAAGTACTTCCGCATACATCATAGGCCACGTGACACAAATTGTCTTTCTTTTTAAATGTTTTTTTATTGATTTTTCTCTTTAATTAAACAGAATAGATATATGAAAATTTCTAAATAAATTCTAAATTCTAAATAAAAAGAAACAAAAACTTGTGAGAAGAATATGCTCAAGAATAAATCCACCAAAAAGAGAACAGCATTTTCAATAAATAAATAAATAAACAATTATAAATAATAAAAATAAAGTTTATTTGCATGTGTGTGTGTGTCTGTGTGTGTGCGTGCGTGCGTGTGTATGTGTGTGTGCGTGTGTGTGTATGTGTGTGTGCGTGTGTGCATAAATCTTTGTTTTTTTTTTTGTTGTGTTTAAACAGTAAAGCAAGTTATAAAATAATATATCCATCAAAGTTGCATAAAAATTAATTTATAAAAACATAAGTAAAAACTCAAAATAGTAAAACATTTAAAATTATAACATTTAAACATTATAAACTTTTTGTTTTAAATGTTAGCTAAACTCCTTTTCCTTAGGAATTTTATAGTTATAGGCAATATAATTTAGAAGCAAATAAAGGTGGAACTGAAGTGCTAGCGGCTTGGCTTCCTTGATAAGAAATATTCCTTTTAAAAAAAAGAAAAGAAGAAGAAGCAGAAACTGGAGATTTAAAAGACAAACATGCCACGATGCGTAAACGTCATCACGTAACCGGAAGATAACTGAGCAGTCGGGATTGCTTTTTTTCACCGGACAACTGGCAGCTAACGGGCAGAAGAAGAGAGGAGTAGATACTCACGGGGACTACACAGCTGCTCTGTACACCCAGGGATTATTTGTACTTCTTGTGGGGGCTTTAGGCTTTACTTACACCTACACAATAATAACTCATCCCGGTATTGTTTTAGATCTGGTTTTAGCTTCATGGCTTAGATGTTTTAGATGGAGTTCGCATTGAAAAGGTCGCTGAGGTGTTTTGTAGACCAGAGCTCTTTGAGCTAGTGTTAGCTAGAAGCAGCCAGCCGCGGACTGCACGGTGCGGACCACAGAGTGGAGAAAGTCGCTCTATCCACAGAGGGACGGACATCGGCATTTATCCCTAACAATGGGCCTCATACTCGCCAAACTGTGGAGCTTCTTTTGTAACCAAGGTGGGTGTCGGTTTTTGCAGCTCACTTATCTCCCGCCGGCTTCTCAACCAGGGATAAGGCGAACTGTTAGCCCGTTAGCATGAAGAGGGCAGCTGAGGTGCCACAATAGCAGATGGCAGAATTATCTCCCCACACATCTATTTTATTTATTTATTTTTACTTAAGCACTGCCATCTGAACTGTCTTTGTTTAACTTGTAAACCAGGGTACTACTCTCCACCCGCATGACGCCACCCACCATCGTAACTGTTAATCTCTTTATCAACCGATATAATTACCTTAAGAACCTACCGGAGTATGTTCACAGTGTTGTCAATCAGCTTTGGCTCACTGTCCAGGACACGTCGCCCTTACATAACTTTTCCTTGACTTTCTGGAAAGATGTTTACTGTAAATATAATTATTCGATTGTGGCTCCAAGTGTCCACTTAAAACAATGGAACTAGTCTAACTAGTATTTTACTCCCGTTTATGATAGGTTACCAAGCTGGATAACCAACATTATCGTGTAATTTCAAGTTTTAAAATATGGAGGACAGAATTTGCGAAAAAATACTATTCAACCCCCCAAAAAATATATTAAACAGACAAAAGGTCTGTTTAATATATTTTCCTCATCACTTGCATCTTGGAACAGTAAAGAAATGTATAGATGTCGAAAGAAGTACCAAAATAAGCTCTCGGGTAATAAGAATATCTAAACAAATTTCAAATTATTGATTTTACGTAGTTTTGGTCCTCTGTATTAAAGTATTCAATGTGGGTTTGCCAAATGTCCTCCAATGCAATGTCAAGTATTCATTAACTGTACAGCTTAAACTTTCTGCTTTTTTCCCCTTACTGTAAGTGAGTGTTATTTTTCTTAATAATGAGGAATAGGAAGTGAAAATCATTAATGAAGGATGTGGTTATATTTACAGATAGAATTTTTATTTTCTGTTTGATTCCAGTCATCATTTGTCATCTGATAGGGAAATATATTTTGCGCTCTTTAGCATGTGTTATATTGCTTACTCACTGCCTGGCCCTAAGAATGGCAAATACCTACTTTCATTGTTACCTAATTCTGGATTAAACTATTCCCAGTGTCAAGTTTTACTTACTTAAGGAGATTGCTGTGTGGTTTGGGTGAAATTGTTGGGACTCAGACTAGGAGTTGAATCTATGTCATCATCGCCATGTAATTGTATTACTAGAGATGTGGTTGGAGACACAAGAAGTGATTCTTCTTGGTGTATGAATCCCTTTGTGTTATTTTTGCCAAATTTTAAATCTTTAGCGCATTCTAGGAACAAATGTTTCCTTTCTCTGTACATCATACGCATATTTTTCCCTGTGTGGTGACATCTATTTGGATTTTTGTTGATGATTGTTTGATAGTTAAACTTTTTCCTGCCCCAAAATGGGCATTTGGGACGTGGCTATGCATTGCAACAACAGTGGGTGCCAACATTTATTTATTTATTTTTTTTATATGCAGGAAAAACCGTGTAATGTTGCTTCTTGTAAAGGAAGCAATATACATATAAAACGTTTGGAAAGCCAATGTCGTTCATCAAAACCCTCAGAGCTGCGATGCCCTTTGGCCAGACTTCCTTCCTTCCTCTCAGCCGGAGGCCTCGCAAGGGCAAGAAGTTAAAACACTGGCCTGAAATATTTTAGTATCTACATGTTGCTCCAATTCTGCATTTAGCCCATCATGTTTGCCTGTCTCGCACCAGCCTCAAACCCTCATTGTTGTTCTATGTACTAGCTTGTTATATGAATGAGCAGAGTTTACTGTAGGTCTAGGTTTGTTTGTTTATTTGGGAAAAGTAGGTCAGGAAGACATGAGGTAGGAAGTAAGTTTTTGAGGTTTTTATTTTTTGGTGTGATTGCTTTTTGTGAGCTGGATCCAGTTTTTGTTTCAAACGGTATACTTTCAAATTAATTTCTGAGTTTTTTGTTTGTTTTTTTATTTTTGTTTTCCAGAGCACAAGGTGATCATTGTGGGACTAGATAATGCAGGGAAAACCACTATCCTCTACCAATTGTAAGTACTTTTTTCAGTTTGAACCTTCCTTCCTGAATGCTTTTAAAGTTGGAAAAACACAAACCCACTTTGCATTTCTGTGTTATTCAGTCTAATGAACGAGGTGGTCCATACTTCTCCCACCATCGGAAGCAATGTGGAAGAAATAGTGGTGAAGAACACCCACTTTTTAATGTGGGACATAGGTGGACAGGAGTCTCTCAGATCCTCCTGGAACACCTACTACTCCAATACAGAGGTGAGAAACACTTTGCAGTCTTTCACACTCGACAGTAGCCGAGCACAGTTTTCTCCCTGAGCACAGCAGCTGGTGTTTGCTCGGAGCACAGACGGCAGCATAGGCCGCCCAAGTCAAAGGTCACCCTATTCACAAAGGAGCCGGTCTGAGAAGCAAAGGGGTCAGCTGCCGCAGTAAAAAGACAAACAGCAGAGGCAGATGTGTATGTGAACTTAAAGACCGCTCTTTACAATATTCACTAAAGGTTTATATCCATTTTGGCTGCTTCATGATTTAAATACAAAGCTCAATTCCTCATTGTTCCCTATGCTTTCTGTGGGAGCATTCCATTATCCTAAAATGTCTCCTCACATATTGTCTTTCATCTCCCTCTCTCTCATATCCTCTTTGTGATGTGTTAGAGATCCAAAAAAAAGACGTGTGAGCGTGGAGGAGGTAAAGCTGTCAAAGCTTCAGCTCCTCCCCTGATGGCAAACTTTGTTCTTTATGTGGAGGTGCAGCATTAATAAATTATGTCGCCTGATATAAGACATGATTATACACCCGGGTGTCCTTGCTCTAAGCTGCTCTAGAAGCCAACCTTTCCCTCATTTCTCAAGGTGGATCAAGGTGATGATGATGGCTGATTCGGAGCAGTTCCTAGGTTGTGGGAGAAGCGAGAGTTGGCATAATGTAAACCACCCCATGTTGGGGTTTCTGGGAATTATAAGAGGTAGTATTCAGCATTTATAATTGACTGCTTTTATTGGGAATATATTGAAGGTCAGTTATTGATATTTTTTTAAACCTCAAACGGCTAGTAAACGAATTAATCAGGAGCTGTTAATGATTGGTTGTATTTGTTAGTAAACTCAGTATATTTTTTGAAAAATAAAAATTCAAATCTAAGAACCTGCTTTTCACTTTCACATTAATATAAAGTGAATATTGATAGGTTTAAAAAAGTAATTGAAATATGTGAATTCCAGGAATTAAGGATGCAAAAAGGAAAATTTATGAGATTAATTATGTGACTGATTATTATGGAAAGGTGAGTTAAACTACTGTAACATTCAGGTGTGTTTGTATCAAACAGTGGCTAAACTGATGCTGTAGACTTTACTGTAGCTGTACACTTACTCGAGTAGCTTGTATTTATATTTTGATTGTAAAGTCAAATGGTCACATAACAGTTTGTGCTCCGAGTCACTTTCATGTTGAATAACGTGTTGGTCTGTGTCATCTTCTGGTGGTCGTTGCCTTAGTTTTGATGGCGTGTCTCACATCTCTTCCAAATTAACATGCCTTTGGCCTTTTTGTCATATAGAGACACTTTTTCTTATTCAAGAGGGGATATTTGCATAGCACTCACCACTTCCCATTGTGAGGGTTTCAGCCTCGGAAATGCCCACCCGCTGTGTTGCATTTTGTTGCTGTGCCTTTTGAAAAGAGGTCATTTTTTTTTCCCCCCCAGTTCATCATTCTGGTGGTGGACAGCACAGACCGAGAGAGGCTGGCTATCTCTAAAGAGGAGCTCTACAGGATGCTGGCCCATGAGGTAACACACTCAACTCTTCCTAGTATGACCATATATGACGATAACGCAGGACGATGGCCAG